TGTTATTAGTAAATATTTTCTGTTACGATGACTTCTGTTTCCTTACACATTTTTTTAACTTAAAACTCTGAGGACCTGATCAATGAATACTAGGATAATGACTACTACCCCCACTAACTTTCCAAATAAGCGTACTAGTGTAACGTTATTTTAGAGAAGAACCTGAAAGAAGTTTTTCTCATTTTGTATCAACAATATCCGGGGGCATTGATTATTAATCAGAACATAATAGGGGCCATCTCCTATTGCCTGCTCCGCTTCAGTGGCCTGGGGTTCACTGGTTTGGATCCTGGGCATGGACCTAGCACTCCTCATCAAGCCAAGCTGTGACAGAATCACACATGAAAGAACTAGAGGGATTTACGACTAGGATGTATAGCTATGTACTGGGGCTTTGGGGAGAAGAAAAAAATAAAAAGAGGAAGATTGGCAACAGATGTTAGCTCAGGGCCAATCTTCTTCATCACACACACACACAAAAGGCATACCTAAAAAAAAGAACATAGTAAAACCCAGAATTTTTTTTAGCAGTAGTGGGGTCCAACTTAAGGTCAATAACTTACTTCTTAAAGCAGTGTGCTGCAGTGATGAGCCATGTATTACTAATCAAGGTGGCCCCACACTGATGGACGTTATTAAGCTGAAGGGAAGCTTGCCAAGGCCAGGCAGCCTTGGCCGCAATTTCTCCCGACATTATTCTGTTGACTATTAATGGAGCAACTCGTTTACCACAACCTGAAAGAGATGAGATCATTAAGTTATAAGAAATGTCTCTATAATCTTTGATATAGAGAACCTAATAGAGTGCTGCAATGCAATATTTGCATTTATCATTATATAAACATGTACAATATTAATATCTATCCTCTGTATTTCCCAATATGTTGATGTATTGCTCACTCTGCATATTTATAGATGTGGATATATATTGCTTCCTGAAGCTAAGTTAAGCTGCAAAGGGTTGACACTTCACAAAGTGTGTGTCCTGAGGACTTGCAGTGTCAATTATTTAGGTGATCTGGGAGCTCCTACTAAGATGACTGTTTCCCAGTTTAGGTGATACAGCTGTGTTATTTTGACATGAGGTCCTCACCAGAAGAACTGGCCAGACAAATAATTGCCCATTTATTGGAAATCCTATTCCCATATTTTTTTCTGGGTGACCAGTTCCTAAGGTGTACATGGGTTAATGTGTCATGACTAGTCTCTCACTCTTCAGGATGGAAGTTTCCATGTTTTTACATAAACCTCACACTCACTGTTGGTGGGAATAAATGTGTACTCTATTATGTGCATCAGGTCAGAGATTACTTTGCTGCTTAGGGTTCCTGCTAAGAATGAAGCCTGTGTAGAGCATGGTGCTAATAAAGAACATACAGTAGGTTTAATTCTTGTTCCAACTAATTAGGTATCAAAAAAGAAAATTCATTTTACGCATATTGATTACACTCCAACCATGGCCAGACATTTTAGAAATCTCCATCTCTCTGCCATCACTTTCATTTAGACTACCACATTTGTCATCTTGGGGACTGCGACAGCCTCCCAGTGCATCTCCCTGCCTCTAGTCTTGCTCCGCCAATCTGTTCTCCCCACCAAAAACTGAATGATCTTTCTGATACGTGTAAAACCCTTCAGTGACCTCTCATTGCCCTCCAAATAAAGTCGAAATGTTTCAGCATGGTTCTGATCCTTGATTACTATTAATCATATCCCTTTCCCATATCGCTCAACTCCCATTCTATGTTCCAGCCACACTGACACTTTTCAATTACAATAAATGACCATGTTCTTACTTTTCTGAAGACATTTTTACATACTACTCCCCCTGCCCAGGACACTTATCCCACTTGTCACTTGATTCATGGCCTCTCCGCTCTCCTGTCTCAGAAATCACTTTCTGATCCCACAAGAGCAGGTTAGCTGACTCTGTGACTGACTCTCACAGCACTGTGCACTCTCTGTCGTAACATTTATCACACTATCTTAACATTTCCTGATTTATTTATGTCTTCCCCTACCTTCTAACTCTTAATTTTAGAGGAGGGATCATGTGTTATTCACAGTGGTATTCACTTTCTGGCACTCGGTAGATGTTAAAAAGATATTTGTTGAATGAATGAATAAGTAAATGAGTAAAAATGTATAGTGTGTTTGTAAGACACAGACGCAAATGCATAAACACTTTTGTTCAAATTCATCAAAACTTTTATAAAATCTTTCAAAATTTAGGTCACAGTGATATGAAATAAGCAAGTGGAGCTGCTGTCAACCATGAAGATGAGTATATTAAGCAAATTTTATAGGCCAATCACAGATGATGGGGTCTATCTCCTCCCCATTTATCACTTTCTCCTTATTTTGTTTCTCAGCAGAAAGCACGTTTCACAGCATTAAAAAAGTTAGAAAAGCAAGCCCATTTATTCCAAACCAGAAATACATAATTTCTTCAAATTGCTCCCCAAATTTCCACCATGAAAAATGTTTTTCTTGAACATGATGAAAAGGTCAGTCTCAGAGTTAGAAAAACAGTATCTCCATCTATTGCCCAATTGTTATTCTCTCCCAAAGAAAATGTGGGACATGGGTGGGAAATTATGAGCTAATATTTGAAGATGTCCTTTCTGATGTGGAAATTGAACTTATTTTTATAAGCTAACTAGACTTACATGCTTGGACAGTTAGCTTCCCTGTTGATGAGCTCATTGCTGAAAAATGAAATAGAGCAAAGAATGATGATTTGATATTCTCCTGGTTGATCTCAATGATCCGAAATTATTAGGGGATACTGACCATATGTGTATTCTAGACAGTTGAGCACATAGATCAGTCAGGAGAATGGCTACCTGATATAACAGGATTTGTGTACAAGATTTGCAGAGAATTATGGGCAACCTCAACCTCTAATTAGGTGGATAATACCCCAAGCAGTGGATGATTAAGGCAAAACTAGTGGATGATTAACACCCACGAATAGTTTATATTAATAAAGAATAGTGGTTTTCCACTGGTGCAGGATAAATCCTCTTTGGATTTACTTCAGGAGATAGAGAAAGCGGAGAAAGAGGGAGCAAGTAGGTGGGGTCTCCAGACTCAAACCCAGCCTCAATCAGAACAGGTCTGCTTTGATCTCTTCTGTTTATTTAAGATTTCACATAAGCCCTTCTTTGGTCACAGCAATTAGAAATGAAAAAAACTTTGAAAGCTCCCACATAAACTATATTTAAAATACTTCTAGGGGCTGGCCCGGTGGTGCAGTGGTTAAGTGCGCACCTTCCGCCTTGAAGGCCCGGGGTTTGCCAGGTCAGATCCCGTGTGTGGACATGGCACTGCTTGGCAAGCCATGCTGTGGTAGGCGTCCCACATATAAAGTAGAGGAAGATGGGCACAGATGTTTGCTCAGGGCCAGTCTTCCTCAGCAAAAAGAGGAGGATTGGCAGCAGTTAGCTCAAGGCTAATCTTCCTCAAAATAAAATAAAATGCTTCTAAAACACAGTTCCTAAATTATCAAAATGATTTTTTTCTGAAGAATAAACTATTGTGTATTCTCATCCAATTATCTGCTGAATATTGGTAAAGGCCAATTATTGGACAGAATCTAGGATTAACTTCTGTGAATTTCCAACAAAGTTAGGAATCTGATAAAGGAACGTGGACATTTAAACTTAAGTTGCTGGAAGATTGCATGAAAACTGTGATTTCATGATAAAATGCCTTATAAACTGTTGCACTTATTTCTATCAGTGCCATGGTTCTCAGACTCATATCCTTTGCATCTAACTTCCCATTGTGCAAAATAAGAATATTTCCTTCTACTTACGTTCTATAAATCCCACTTGGGAAACTAGTGATGATAAACTTTGCAAAGTGGGAGTTTTGAAAATATCCAATTCAAGGATACCCTTAAAGCTATGCCCAAATCATTATATGGTGAAGAATCAATTGCTCAGGACAGATTCTCAATGCTTACTCTATGGAAGGAACTCAATTTTCTGTCAAATGTAGTTTTAAGGTAGTAAATGTTGTTTCATTTTTTTTAAAAGCTAATTTAATATCCATGTTACTAATGCATTAAAATGAAAAATAGTATAATGCTGGAATTCTTCAGTTAAGCCTTCTTCAGCTTAGTTTGAGCAAGATGCAAATCACCCCTTTCCAGGAATGACATCAGGTTAAGTGTAATGGTTTTGAGTGTAATGGATTTTTAAGGATTGAATTTTTAGGGAGAATAATTACACCCGGAGGTAAGCTACCCATCCTCAAGTAACTGGCTATTAAAGATGTCTAATTGTGACCAAATATTTTTACTTTCCAAGTCTAGGAGAGAAAAGAAATATTAACACCTCAGTCTTGAAAGTAACCCTCTAACACACTTCTGAGCTGAAAGTAATTTAGTTAGTATTCAGGGCTCTACATGCTACAAGTAACATATGGGAACTGGAGCACACAACAACCGTGATGTTGGCAGTGAGCCGCTCTTCCACAGCCATGGTGTTTGCAATGCAAAGGTGTTGATTTTAGCTTTTCTGTGACCCATTGCATCACATGAGGGACCCACAGAAGAATAACACAATTATCTTGACAAATTATGGGTAAATCTTGGGCTGCAGGGTTATTTCGAGACTTGGTCTAGAATTTCGGCAGTTTTCCATTCATTGGGAGTCCCCCAAATTAAGTGTTCCTGGAGAGCAATGTTTTTGCCTATAAAAATTGCCTTTAGGGTTCTCCTGAGCTTTTCACTTTCCACTAAGTGGGACTTTTTTAAGTTCTAGTAAACACTGCTTCTTTTACATCTGGAAATTTGGAAACCTTCAAGGTTCTAGCTTTATCTACTACCAGTCAATCCCTTGCATTAATGCTTTCAGATTTCCAAAGCATAAGCACAATTCACTAGCTTTCTAAGTGGTAACAGTGTATATGTTCCATATTATATTTTTCATTTTCTTGTATATCTTCATGATTGTACAGGAAGAACAAATATTATCATTGTAATTTTACAGATGAGAAAATGGAGGCCAATGCCTGGGCCAATTAGTTGGGTGGTCCTGCAGTGACTCAGTGGAGATAGAATTAGGTAAGTCTCAAATCAGGTTTTCCACCAGCCCTTTAATCTACTGCAGTCATTAAAATAAGCTGCAGCTCACAAACTGAGCCGGTAAGAAGCAAAAAGCCCAGGCAGTCAGTGACCATTTCATGCTTCATTTCTGGTTTCAGATAGCTCAGCCTTTTAAATTCCTGGCGTATTTACTGGTTATTGGAAATTACATAGAACACATCATGTAACTTATCAGAATTGCCAGTATTTCACAACCTTAATTCAATTGTTTCCCCACCTAACAAAGGAAATGAATTAAGCGTTTGACAGGTTCTTCCCTCCTGGGTTGGGAGCGGTTTCCAGGTGTATTCCCTGAGTAGCTGACTCTCTCACATCAGCAAACTCCTGCCCATCCCATTCCCTCAGATTTTCACTTCCTGGATGAGTTTCCTCTTGAAGAGTTAGCTAGACCCTTACAAGAGCAGGGCATCCTGTTTCACATCTGATATTAATCACTTTGATTCTCTTCCGTGACTCTCTTAAGTCTATTGTCCATTGGAATCTGTAGGGGAAACTCTGTGTTTGTCTGCCAGAAGTAGATGCTTGTGGAAGCAGCTTAATGTACAGGGGCAAATAGTTATCTGTGTAGCTGTACTCCTCAGAGCCTTTAATATGCTAATATAAGGGATGAACTTCCAAGAGATAAATATCATAGACAGAATTCCTAAAATGTGTTTGACCACAGAACTCTTTTTTTCAAAGAATGTCTCAAGAAATTAGAGATCTAGATTTGAATCTTAGCTCCTCTTAATTATTAGAGTCCTGTTTTTATTAACTTTTTTTTGCCCCTCTTTCATGTCTATAAAGGTGAATTTGTCTACTTCACACGGATATAGAAATTAGCTGCATGTAAAGGGCATAAAGAAGGGCCTTGATAAAGGTTGATTCTCTTTTTAGAGAAACGATAATGGTATAATGGATCCAATGATTTTTTTCTGGTTTAGTAATTTTTGAAGCATTACTTATAAGATGGCTTTAGTGGCTCTACAGTTGGTTTACCATTTTCCCAAATGCCTGTATGAAAAAAGTTAACAAAAACTTCATCATTTCACTGTATACAGAAACTATCCATATCTTTAAAAGGCAAAAAATGAGTTTGTGTTTTACGAAGGTCCACCTAGAAAAACAGTTGTTGCTAAACACTTGGTATTTTCACTTGCTTAGTCATGGAGACAGTGGCTGGGTCAGATTAATGCTCTGTTAGTGGTAAAGATTTGCATATGGAATGAGTGCCAATTACTACAGGAAAAAACACTTGACAACTAACTTCAGACATACTTTCATCAGAAAATAATAAAACCTCGAATGAAACTTTTTTAACTTGAAATTTTTTTCCATTTGAATTCTAGCTATCATTTGGAATGAAAATAACGGCAAGTAAGTATGAGATTAGATATAAAATGGACCTAATAGGTCCCTTTCACATCACATACAAAGGTACCTATGTACTTACCATTAACTTGAACTGATGAGGCATTTATTGACAAGGCTCTTGTGTTCCTTATCTTCTGATTTAAGATGCTGTGGATTTTCTTCTTTCTTGCTGTCCTTTGCTCAGCAGAGGGGAACTGGAACACCATAATGACATCTGCTTTCACACCATCTTCCTCTGGACTACGACGCACAAGAGAAAGGTGCTTATTCAAAGAACACATCCGGTATTATCTTACACTCTTTCCTGTATTTTCTTCCCCTGATTTATGCCTCAATTGCTGAAAGTGTCAAGAACTAATCTTCTCACACTGATGTGAATCTACATGTCACTCGCTGACCCAAGATAATTTCATATGATCCCTCTTCAAGTTTTCATTGTTTTGAGTGCATTTTCCCCATTAATTTGAAGCCTTGTTATAGCAGTGGGGTAGAACTCAGACATCAAAGAATTATCATCAAAATCATAAACTCTCAGGATTGAAAGAAACTTTAGTGGTCTCTTCGGTCAATCACTCCTGTGTCTTGATACCTGAATCACCTCTACAGCATCCATGACCAAGTGGTCCTCTAACCCCAGCACAGTAATTAAAATGATGGGGAATTTACTTCCCTAAAGAGATTATTTCTCTTTGGTCAGCTCTGATTTTAAGAGAGTTCTTTGATTTGAGTTGAAAATATGTCTCTTTCTATCTTTCATTTAGTTGGGCTTAGGACTACCCCTTGAGACATGCATAACATAAAGTTCCCTCTTCCACATAAAATATTTGAAGACAGTGATATTCTTGGTCCCTGAGTCTTCTCCTGATTAAATATGTTCAGTTCCTTGAACTTTTTCATATAAATAGGTTCAAGTCCCTTCATCTGTGGTACTGAATTTTTACATACTCTTAAAGTAGGAAAACCAAACAATTTAAGGTCATTAAAAAAATCGAAACCTATGTATTGATCTGCTATTCTTGTTTTTACACTTCAAAAGATCCAGGATCTAAAAAGCACTAAAGGACTATTTTCCTGAATCCTTTTACTAAAAAGAGAGGAAATCATATTGATTCTGAGGCATTTTAGATATTGTGGTCCATTTAGGCTCTGGAATGTGAAGATATAAATAATCAGAATTTTATGTCAAATTGGCAAACATATAACCAAGTAATTTTCCCTCTTAAATTAGAGAGAAAACATTGTTTCCCAGGTGGCATTTCTCTGGATGCACAGAAAAAGTTATATAGTAAAAATGGCTACAAATTTAAAGGAGTTCATAAGACTAGGAAAATGTTGCTAGAATGTTATGGCAAATCAGAATTTGAAAATGGAGGGCATGAGATCTAGAAAGTTTTGGCAAATATGTACTTTTTGTCTCCTAAATATTAGAGATTTTATCCAATTTATATTATAAAGTCCTTCTGGAGGTCAGTAGTTACTCAGTAAAGGTGTAAGGAACTTGGAGTCAGTCTTCCAATAAGCATTAGTCAGTTGGTGAGAAAAGTGATTATTATTTCCTTCAAAAAAATCTGTCTGAATATATTCATTTTCTTTAGGAAGATGAGTCATACAGGCCCATAGGTTTGCACTTATTACGTCTACGTTCTGCTATGTGCTTTCCAAATAACACAATTGAAACCTCTGAGCCATTTCTGCAACTGATATGAATCTTCCCCCTCCACCACAACAAACAGAAAATTTATTAAAACAGGAACGTCTTTTCATTTGGGCATGCCTTCTGTCACTAAGGCTTCATTACAGGTAAAACTTATGATCCCATTTTGTAGTCAACTTTGCCTTCTTAATGTTCTTGAAATGACATGTCTGTTGAAAGAATACAACTTGGTGCATGCAGTGACATGCTGCTGGGTTTTCCCAAAGCCACAGGTTCTGGTAGGCCCGGGCCTTACAATCAGTTGATGGAATTTGAATCCTGATTCTGCTGCTTGGGGAAACTGTCACTTGGGGAACTTTAAGCACATCACTTAACCTCCCTGAGTCTTAGTTTTTGCATATACAAAGTGGTGGTCAGCCCTATATCTTGAGACTGTTATAGAGGTAGTATTTATGAGAAATCCTAGCCAAGAGCCAAGCCCATAGAGGCAACAGTATATGAGGGTTTCCATCTCCTTTGCCCTTTGTCTCTCCAGGCTGTGACTCCACATTTGCCCAAACATACATACGTCAGTCTCACTACTTGGTTCTTGATATAATGCTTGTTGAAGGCAGAATCTATAAATATCTCCTCCACCTGTTATTACAAGAGAGAAACTCTGTATTAATAGGATATTTTGTAATAAGAATATACCCCTGATTAAATGGTAAAGCAATAGAAAAAAGTTTCAACATGGCAATACCATTTAAACCAGTGGTTCTCAACTCTCACAATGCAACAGAATCATTTGCAGATTTTTTTTTTAATTATAGATGCTGGGGCCCTCTGCCAGAGTTTTGGTTATAACCGGTCTGGAGGGGACCTAGCCATTCGTAGTTGTAAAAATTTCCCCAGGTGATTCTAATGTGCCATCATATGTTTCTGCAGTAGAAGATATGTTCCTAAAACTCCATAGAAGGTGAAGCAGAAAGATACAGAGCAGCGATGGGACACAGGGAGGCCTTGAGAGGTGATGGAAAGAACCTTGGCTTCGTATTGGGTTTGAAGCCTATCCTTCTGCTCATGAACTGGGTGACCTTGGAAAAGTTATTGAACCAATTTGAGCCTCAGTTTCCTAAGCTGTAAAACAAAGATATTGATATGCTACTCATAGGGCTATAGAGATTAAACACATATAAAATGCTGCCTATATTTTGGTAATGAACTGCTGGGGATTCTCTAGCACCCGTTCTGGCATTGCATTGCAGGTCTCAGATTTCTCTGCAGGTCTTTGGCAGTAAGTACAGAGAAGAGGCATTAGTGATTTAGGAGAGAATCAATGAGTTTTTAAGTGTTGATTGTGGTGTAAGTCAGGGGGAAGAAAGAGTGAGTGGTGTTGCAGGTTTAGGTCAAAGTTGTGTTACTCGGTTTATGTCACCAAGGAAGAAGAAAAGTTACTGTTTTGAGTCCATTTGCACAGCATTGTCGCTTATCAAACCTAGATTTTGGCTTGCAGTATCCCTTAGTGACCACTTGGTGGCAAAAGTGTCATCTGAATGCGGGCGCTGCATTTCACTTTTGATAGATGAGCTGAATGTGCATATTCAAGTCCAAATGACACTTGGACACATTTTGTGAATTTCACCGGCATCACATAGATAATAAACTGGGACTTAAACCTTGGTCTTCTGTCTGTAGGTCCATCTCTTCTCATCAATTACACAACTTCCTTGTTAAATATGATGTATATTTTACTTGAAGTTCTTTCATAGAAACTTAACAATAAGTTATAAAATAAACAGTTGGTGGACTTAAAGTATAAAACTTGTAAAGATATAGTTGGTAATATATTTGTAAATTTAAGAGAAAAGACAGTATTTAGAAAATAGAGAAATTTCTAGTATCCAAAATATACATTTATTGCATTCAAATAAGGAAAGCTTAAGGAGGCTGAGGAGGTGTGGGGTTTATATGCTAGAATGAAACTCTTTTGGAAAATATGTTTTCACAAGAGTGACACTGTTGTAATCATTTCTCTTCTTGTCACCCGCAACCAGTTCTATTACTCAGTATCTGGGGGAAATCCAAAAAAAAAGAGAAAAAAGGCAAACAAAAAAACAACAGGGAGAAAAGTGATGAATATGAAAAGGAAGAAAAGCAAATAGCAGTTGGGTATGTAAAGAAGTTTGGTTTGTAATTATCCTCTGAAATTCCACCCACAATTGATCCCTTGACTGATTGTGACTTGTTGGTGAAGATATTGGATTAAGTTTTTGACTTTGGATGACATCATGCATCTGGCAACATGCCTGCTAAGAAGAACATCTAAATTCACCAGTTCCACCTTTAAATGGTTCAGTTGTCTCGGAAGAGAGAGCTGAAAGAATAACACTAGAACAATCTAGGTAGAAGCAACTCTGGTAATTACAGGAATAAAGAAGTTCCTTCTTTAAAATTCAAATTCCAGGACCCTGCCCCTATAAAGCCTCATTGATTAGGTCTAGAGTGAGGCCCAGGATCTTCAGGTGATCCAGGTAGCCTGAGGAAAACACTCTGAGAAATGCTGGGGCACTGGGACTGGCTAGAAGGGTTCCTATGCTAATGATATTTACAACAGGGGGAAAATCAGAAAAAAACATGAACATGAGCTTTATTGCTGAATGAAGTTTATGTATGAACTAGCTTTCTAGAGACCTTCAAAAAATGTTTCCCTGGCAGATTAAGAATTACCTTATAAGCAGCATTCTGCAAGCACGCTGGCATTCTAAATTCTCAGAAGTTTTGGAGAACAATTTTTTTTTAAGCTGTATGCCAGCTTCTTATAAATTTATTATTTACACAACCTAATAGAGATGGTGATTTATAAATCTATCCTCCCTCCCTTCTGGGGACATTTGTAGAGTTTTGTAGTTAGAATAAGTATCCCAGCATTGAGCAAAAGACTCCCTTTCACTGTATACCTCTTTATGTCTGATAATTTTGAAATGCTGGAAATTGCGCTGAGATTAAGTTCTTAGAGGGCAATTGAAGGTTAGTCAGGTGTTTAATGAAAGAGTTAGGGAGAGGCTGTCAACTCAAACAAACAGACGCGCCCAACCATTCTGCTGTCACTCCTGAACTAACTCTGTTTACACACGTTGCCTGCCTGTCACTGTCAGATGCTCCCAACTGGCTCCTCTCACGGCAGTCTTTGCATTCACGTAGGGAGTGTTTCAGGGCTGCAACTGCAAACTTCAGATAGATATGCTTCTGAAGATTGGCCAATGGAATATAAAAGCAATTTCTTCCAACATCACACTAGGTGAGCTCCTGAGAGCTACAGGAACCAAAAACACGCCATGAAGAGAATTTTAGATCCTGTTGTGTTCTCCCAATTGTAATGAGCACCACACAAAAGATTGCATTAAAGATGTTTAAAAAAAAAACCCACAGCTTTGGCCTTAAACAAGGGTTAATTGAAGTTGTCTTGCTACCAGGGCTGAACTCAAGATAGAAATAGAGAATAGACCACAATTGCATTGGAGCCTCTGGTCACAGAGTCAGACATTCAAGGGCCTCACTGTCTGTCACTAATCCCTCACCCATTTCAACACCACTCCTTTCTGTCTTGGCAGTGCTGTGTTCTGGCATGACCCTGAT